CTAAGCAACTTAGAGAAACTCTATCTCAAAATAAAAAATAAAAAGAGCTGGGGATGTGCCTCAGGGGTTAAACACCACTGGGTTCTAGCCCTGGTACAAAAGAGAGAAAGAGAGAGAAATGGTGGGTCAGCATATGAACAACTGCACCAACAATAAACAGCTGTGAGCTAGAGCTAACATTCAACAGCAGGTGTCAACTATATTATTACCATATTAATAATCACAATGACATGAATGGTGGGGGTAGGAATTATATAAACCAAACAGTTCTAACTTCTTTTTCTTAAGGATGGATTTATAAACTTCAGGAAACTTTAAGCTTCAAACAACCTGGACCTGTCTCATTGCTGTGTCACTATTACCTTCTTTAAATAATAAACAGCACATGTACGAGACCTTGCTCAGGACCCTGAGATCAGAGGTATGCACCTTTCTGCAATTCAAGAACCATGGTCAACAAGGCTTCCAAACCCTTGAAATCTAAATGATTAGTCGTCACAAAATGATGTTAGTCTTTACAAACTCAGAACTCAGATGAAAAGAAAAGGCACCCTATAGAGTATCATATTTAAGGATTAGGAAATATGATATTTATAAACCTTTTTATAACTTCTATAAACTTTCTGCACTTTGCAGAAATAAGAAATGATGACCTGAGTTACAAAGTCCACAAAGAATATGAATGACTCATTTTCTTCACCAGGGCAGAGAAACCATATATAGAGATAATTTGGTTATGGATATTTGTAAGAACCCAGAACTTCAAAATCGTATGTTAAAAGACAAGTATTTATCCTTTTAAAATTATGTTTTACCCAACAAGTCTACTGATATGAGAGTCCAAATTTCTCCCAGTTGTCTCCCATTCCACAGCCTTCTGTGAACAATTATGCTTTCAGTAGCCGAGCATGTTTCTGTAGCTCCAACTGCTTTCCCATGGGAAGTTTAATGGTTGCCTGAACTTCTGAAGATAACATGGGTGCAGGCTGTTGGAATTTATTCATTAATTCGTATTGCAAATACCTGCTCTGAGATTTCAATTCTCAGCTGCTCTCTCCCTATTGCTTCTTGTGATTTCTGAACTCTATCCACACACAGCACTTTAACTTCCCAAGATACATGCATTGACTTTCTCTTTTAAGTACCAATGCATCATAATTCTTTCATTAACAGTTTGGGGCAAAATAACAATGGGATATAAAAACCCCACAGAAATTAACATGTCTTTATAGTAGACATGATCTTTCCTTAAATCCTTGGCATTATCTCAGACATACATAGCTTCTTATTTCTGCTTCCTTAATAGCTTCATTTTATGTTTTATATAATTTCTGCTTCAACTGCCTAAGAGAGGAATTTGTCAATTATATTTTCTATTTCACTGATTTATTGCTGAGTTGTATATACTTGCCTATTTAATACTGTCATTTAGGATAATATATATTTAAGCAGTATATATTATAGAAATGTGTAAGAATGCAATACTTACCCCCCAAATCACGACTTGAAACAAAGATCAGGAAACTGGCAATAATCCTCATCCAATCACGTGCACACATCTCTCCCATTTCTCTATCATTCACTGAAGTAAACTCTGCCTGTAATCTCCTTGATTCCCGTCATTTTTATGGTCTGAATTCTATGCTTTTCTAATAAAAATACATTTATAAAAAGTTATATGTTATTGTGGACTTTTGAATTAGAGTCTTACTGTGTTTAATAGGATCTCACCACACCTGTTGTAAAGTTAATTTTTAAATTAATATTAGATTTCCATTCTCTTAGTATTTTGTGATTTATTTCATCTAATATACTCATTTTAAAAAATTATACAACATAAAACCCCCAAACCATTTTCTTAATCATTCTGTGAGCTATGACAAATGAAATGAGTTGTATAACTACCACCACAAAAGGGTATAGGTTAGGCCCCTTATTGCCCCCAATTCCTTTAAATTGTTTAATTTTCATCAAATGTATCCCCAGTCTTCACTTCTGGCAACCATCTATATCTTACAGTTTTTCTCTCTCCATCTTTTAGAGCAATCATGAAGTATGTAACTTTTGACTACTTTTTTCTTCAAATAATGCATTTGACAGCCACCCTAGTTACCATTTGTATCACTAATTATTTTCTTTTTATTCCTGAGTTGAAATCCATCATATGTCTATCATTTGTTTGTTTTCATTCAGCAATCGAAGAACTTTTGGCTTATTTCCAGTTTGAGGTCTTATGAAAACAGCTGCTACAAACATATGTATTTTTTTTTGTGATTCTAAGTTTTCTTTCTCTAAAGTTAATGTATAGGAATAGGATTGCATAATCTAATGGCAAATGTATGTTTAATTTTGTAAGAAATTATCAAAAATATTTCCCAGGATGACTGTACCATTTTTCATTCTCATTAGCAATTATAAGTAATCTAGTCTTCAGCTATTTTAAACATAATATTATAAATTAAACTATAATGATTTTTCTTCTTTCACATTTAGTCTATTTCATTTCATGTTGTGTGCAGAAGAGCACACTAGATACAGCACTGAGTGATTCCAGAAACATATAAATCAACTGTGGTGTTTCAACAATTTTCTACTTTTAAGCTTATCATTATAAGTCTGCCATGTTTCTCTGTTCTAAATGGGCCATCTACATCATGTTCTACAGAGTTTTGTCCCGATCACAATTTTTAGCTCTTCAATGGATACACATAATGAGCAGAACCGTTATGCAACCGTGTTTTAATTTTTCATTACCATTTTACCATAGGGCAGTATCAAATCAGATAATATAATAAAAAAATAGTTTCTACAATCTATTTTAGAAACTTTTCAACACCATGAATTTTTTTTTTTTTTACCAAAGTGTGTTTACTAAAAAATCAATGCCAAATGATGTTAATATGTTTAGTTTGGGGTATTTAGTGTAATAGGAAAGTTTTAGTTAACTATATCTGTAATTACATAATTAAACAAATGTCTTTTTCTACTTCTTATACTATTTAATTATGTCATATTAGTGAGAGCTAGCTAATGGATAATTTTGCAAACTTATTTTACCATGGGACCTTTCTGAAGATTTTCATATAAAAATTTGAACTTGTGAGTATAAGAAAATCAGAGACTTGTTAGAAGAAAACTCATAGTAGCATTTATTCCAAGTGAGCAGTTATTATCTGGCTCAATTTAGTATAGGCCATCGGAGAATGGTTTTACAAATTGAATGTAAAATAGGATGTACCTGCAGGAATAAAGTGGGCTGGTGAGAAGATTTTTATAAAGAGAGGGCATTTGTAGATTGCACTGAAGCATAACAGGTCATAACCAAGTGTCAGAGACAATTTACAGAATAGTTAGCATCTTGGGAGCTTGGCTTTAAATGACATATCTATTGACACTTCCTATTTTCTATGAGATGTCTATAGGCTGACAGGAGATAAGTCTTACTTAGAAAGGCAAGTATTCCGCCCCCCACAGCTATCCTCTGAAGTGTCTGAGGTGTTAAGCCCATTATGTGCAATTCAGCTGGTAGATTTCCACAAGCACTCCAGAGCAGAGCAGAGCCGAGCCACGGGAGGCTTCACTCCATTCTTTTTTTTTTTTTTTATTGATTGTTCAAAACCATTCTTAAGACAAATCCTAAAGCCTTTGCTGGGGAAGGGGGAGATGAAAAAGCAAAAATAAACCTAAGTAGTTTACATGACCCACGGCTGATCTAATGCTTCTAAGTGTGTTTTCTTTCTTAGGTGCCCTGGGCATGAAAAGAGGGGGAAAGTGTTTTTACTGGGTTTTGTTGGTTTTTTGGGGGGAGGGGGCAGCGGCCTAGGGTTTGATAGAGAGCAGAAAGAGATTTGATAATATTTGCCCTGTGAAATGTATCACTTTGTATCATGCACTAGATTTATGGCTGGATATCATTTTGTAGTTTCAGCATTTTAGAAGATTTGATCTACCAACTTTTGTGTGTGTGTGTGTGTGTGTGTGTGTGTGTGTGTGTGTGTGTGTGTGTTTGTTTTCTGCATTTTTGGACTTTAATTACAAACCATGATTTCTAAAATTAGAAGAGGCAGAAAGAAAGGACAATGTATTGTCAGAAATCTCTCTCTCTCTCTCTCTCTCTCTCTCTCTCTCACATACACACACACACACACACACACACACTTGTATCTAATTAACGCTGCATTTAGGCAATCAGATCTATTTTCTAAGATTTATGGTGCAGAAAAAAAAAAAGCTGATCAAAAACTGAATACATCTGAGTACATCTGTGTTGCAACTCCATCCACTGTAACTAAGTGGTATGACATGTGTTTGAAATGCATGTGAAAATGGAGTTTTGGATTAAGTTCTTTCATTTTATTTTTATAGATGAGGGAGCATCCAGACACAACCTTGGTTCTAGTTAACAGCTTTATAGGTCAAAATCAGTGTACATTTCCATTTCTCTCCCGTGTTCCTATTTTCAAACCCAAGGACTTGCTTTATGATTATTTTACTTTCTCCCTTGGATCATTTTAACACTCTGATTCCTATAAGAGTTAATAATGGTAATAATGGGAAAAAGAATAAATATGAGATATGAGAAGGTTTAGGAGGATAAACAGTATGTGTAAAATGCTGAAAATATACATGCTTCAATAACAGCTGTTTAGTCTTTTTCTTTTGTCTCTATGAACAATACGCATACCTTTTTATTAGAGTTTCACAATGAAAAATAACCATTAATACATTAACAGTTACTAACTACATATTCACAATTAAAATATAATTAATACCAGATTGCCAGACACTGTGGTGGGGTGGGGCAATCCTGTAATCCCAGTGACTCAGGAAGCTGAGGCAGAAAGATCACAATTTGAGACCAGCCGGGGCAATTTATAGAAAACAAAAGGTAGAGGACAGGGGAGAGAGACTGAGTATGTAGTTCAGTGGTAGATTGCCCCTCACAAACAACAACAATGAATTCTGAAGTTTAGAAAAAAAGGACAGCAAACCCTCCTTAAATCCTTAATACTTTTCTTACATTGAATTATGAAGAGTGAAGAATATAAGTTCCAACACTAATTCTTTGAAAGCACAATTAAAAGAAGTAAATTGCCGAGAAGATCATCCAAGGAAAAAAAGAGAGAAAAGCCCCAAATAATCAAACTCAGAAATGAAGCAAGGGAAATTAATTGACTTTATGCATTTTTTTAAATTGGATCTTACAAACAGCAACAGGCCTGGCTGAGAAGAACCTCCCATGCATGACCCTTTATAGGACAACTTTAAAGCAAGGATGATGAAGAAACAAAGGATCCATCAACCAGGTCACTAAATAGTTATACAGAGTACAGGACACCCCCATTAACCATTCAGTGCCCTCTTTCCCATCTATCAACTCACCTGGCATTGAATTATACAGTCAAGGTCAAGTAATGTTTTTATTGTTTGAACTACTATACTTTGTGAGATTTGTTTTTCATGTGATTTTTTTACACTCAATAACATGTTTAGTATAAAAGTAAATGGATTAAACATTTCTGTTTAAAAGTAAAAAGATTAAATGTTCCAATTGAAAGATGTAGAGTGATTAAATGTATAAAAAGAAGCAAGACCCAACTACATGTGTTGCTTACAAGGAAATCATTTCACCTCTAAGGACATGCATGGACTGAGAATGAATAAGACAGTCCATGCAAATGGAATTGGGAAGAAAGCGGGAGTAGCCACACTTTGATAACTAGAAAATAACTTTGGTAAAAATCTATTATAGAAAATGTTTAATAATTATAAAAATGTATGGAAATGGAACAACTTTCTTTTGAACCACCAGTGGATCATGAAAGAAATCAGGAAGGACATTTAAATTTTTTCTCAATATAATAAAATAAAAATGGAGAAACCACATTAAAAAAAATCTTATAGGACACAGCTAAAGTTGTATTGAGGGACATTTAGAGCAATCAAAACCTACATCAGAAAAGCAGAAAGAGCTCAAATAAACAATTTAACCACTGCATCTCAACTAGAATAACTAGGACAAATCAAACCCAAAATTAGTGAAAAGAAGGAAAAGTTGAGAGAAGACCCAAATAAATAAAATCAGAAATGAAAAATGAGTCATTATAGCAGACACCACAAAATTTAAAGAATTGTTAGGAATTATTATAAACAACTATATGCTAACAAATTTGATAGCTTAGAAGAAATGAAAAAATTCCTGGACACATATACCTTACCAAAATTAAAACATAAAAGAATAGAAAACCTGAACAAATCATAACTGAGATTGAATCAGTAATGAAAATTCTCCCATCAAAGAAAAGCTGAGGACCAGATGGCTGCATGGCTGAATTCTATCAAAAATTTAAAGAAGAATACCAATTATCCTTAAATAATTTACAAAAAATAAAAAAGGAGAAGAATAATAAGAAGGAATTCTTCCCAACATATTTTATAAGATCTGCATTACTCATATACCCAAAGCAGATAAGGACACATCAAAACTACAGACCTTAGTGAACCTAGATGCAAAGATCCTTGACAAAATACTAGCTAACTGAATCCAAGAGCACATATAAAATAGCATTCAGGGAATTGGCAGATGGCAGATTAGATGAAGGCACACTCTCCAGCACTCTCCTCAGCTTGAGATTCACGCAGCAGCAACATTGCTTCTTAGAGAGGTGGTGGCAGAGGGAATTCACTGAAATTCAGCATTGAACAGTAAAATAATCATAGAGATGCAGAAATTAAAAAGCTTTGAACATAGAATAAGAAATAGTACATTAGATATGTCATCTTTGCTGGCAGTGATAGTACTGCCATTCATGGCAGAGGTATGGGGTGACACAGGCAGAAAGAGAGGAAAACAAATTTGTGAATAAATTTGGTTTGGAGCAGAAAGGGAGGCTGATCATAACTGACCCAGAGCCACTGTTGCAAGTTTACAATGTAAAAGTGATCAGAATCTCTTGGTTGTCCAGTGGAGAGTTGCAGCAGATACCATCTGCAATTGGCCTTGTGGCAGTGTGCAGACAGGAGTTCAGGAGTTCGTAAAAGGTGTTGCCATCCTGTCCCAGTTGACAGGGATCCAGATTGAGCAGGACGAGTGTGACTGAAGTGGCACAGACAAGACTGTGCTGGGGGAGGTCCAGGCTGGGGATTCCAATGGGAGACAGGCTTGAGTTCCCTTTGTTGCTGGCAGCCCATGCAAACAGCTGGGAAGAGGCCAGAAAGTGGGCAGACGGGCACATCTGCACTTCAGGTTCGATGGTGGAAAATTTACATCCATGGGGTGGAATATGAGAGACCTGCAGGAGCAGTGGAATTATCAGGATATCCTTGAGATCTAAGCATTGAGCAGAGATCCTCAAATGCCTAGGAACAGGGGGTATGGATCTAATCTTGAATATCTTCCAATAAAGCTCAAAAGGAGCTTCTGGAACTTCCCATTGGGAACTCTGCATCAGACCCACTCTGAGAGTGCATTGACCTTGTCAGTCCAGACAAAATTCCAGCTGTCGGAACTCCCAGTCTGCATACCCTACACTGTGAGGCAGGCAGCTGAGAGCTACAGTAACCAGCTTAGGTTCCAGGTACACCAGCTGCCAGCTTGGCGAGAAACTTGAAGAGCTCAGATTCAGCAACCCAAGGCCTTGGTCACAGGGGTACATCTGAAAAGAAAGGTAAAGAATGGGGCAACAGCATAAGTAAAGGACACCCATCCCTGCCAACAGCTTTGACCACCTGAGAGGAACAAAAGCCTTTCATTTTTTATTAAGAGTTTTTCTATATTTTTTCCTTTTTAAAAACTTTTTCCATTCTCTCTTCTTTGTATGTGTGTGCGTGTTCTGTGTTGATAGATTCTAGTGTGTATTCACATAATTTTCTTTCATTTTAATAACTCTTTTTTTAGGGGGTACCAGGGAGTGAACTCAACCACCAAGTCACATCCGCAGCCCTATTTTGTATTTTATTTAGAGACAGGGTCTCACTGAGTTGCTTAGTGCCTCACTTTTGGTGAGGCTGGCTTTGAACTCACTATCCTCTTGCCTCAACCTCCTGAGCCACTGGGATTACAAGCATGTTCTGGGGACTGAACCCAGGCCACTGGGCGTGCGAGGCAGGTACACTACCAACTGAACTATATCTCTAGTCCTGTGGTTCAGCCTTCTTTTGATTTTTGTTTTTGACTTGGGAGGGGTAAAATTTTATGTGGGTTTGCTTTAGTGTGTTTTTTTTCTTTGTTTCTTACCTTTGTTTTTGTTTCTCTTATTACTCCTTTTCTTTCTCCTCTAATAGTCAAATCTCTTATTTTCTTTTCCTCCCTTGATCTATTTTATTTTATTTTATTACTTTTAGTTATTTTCCATTCTTCCATCTCTATCACCATCACCTGCTACCTTTCTCCTGCTTTACCTTTGTTCATTTTTAAAATATTTAAAGCTTTCTCTTGTCTTCCTACCTCATTTTCTTTTCACTTAGGCAACTATAATGAGTCATTCATATTCTTTGTGGACTTTGTAACTCAGGTCATCATTTCTTATTTCTGCAAAGTGCAGAAAGTTTATAGAAGTTATAAAAAGGTTTATAAATATCATATTTCCTAATCCTTAAATATGATACTCTATAGGGTGCCTTTTCTTTTCATCTGAGTTCTGAGTTTGTAAAGACTAACATCATTTTGTGACGACTAATCATTTAGATTTCAAGGGTTTGGAAGCCTTGTTGACCATGGTTCTTGAATTGCAGAAAGGTGCATACCTCTGATCTCAGGGTCCTGAGCAAGGTCTCGTACATGTGCTGTTTATTATTTAAAGAAGGTAATAGTGACACAGCAATGAGACAGGTCCAGGTTGTTTGAAGCTTAAAGTTTCCTGAAGTTTATAAATCCATCCTTAAGAAAAAGAAGTTAGAACTGTTTGGTTTATATAATTCCTACCCCCACCATTCATGTCATTGTGATTATTAATATGGTAATAATATAGTTGACACCTGCTGTTGAATGTTAGCTCTAGCTCACAGCTGTTTATTGTTGGTGCAGTTGTTCATATGCTGACCCACCATTTCTCTCTCTTTCTCTCTTTTGTACCAGGGCTAGAACCCAGTGGTGTTTAACCCCTGAGGCACATCCCCAGCTCTTTTTATTTTTTATTTTGAGATAGAGTTTCTCTAAGTTGCTTAGTGCCTCACCAAGTTGCTGAGGCTGGCATTTGGCTTGGGATTCTCCTGCCTCAGCCTCTCAAATTTCTGGGATTACAGGTGTATGGCACCTTGCCCAGTGCACTAATCCTCTTTTGTGGCAATTAGTGTTAACATGTGTCATAGTAGGCACAGGAGACTTATTTTAAAACTTTGAATTGGTTGCTACTATTGTTTCTATTCCTTGTTCCCCCTTTACCTAAGAGAGGCTGGGAAGTGATTGGGATACTGCAAGTTCATGGAGTAGAGATCCTGTTGCTGAGCTACACTCACAACTCAGTGAAGTGAAAGCAAATCTCACTCCATTCAAGAACTTGAGCCTCAATAATGCTTCAACACATAGAATTGGGGAGACAAAATCCTAAACCAATGACCGAGTTGCACTTTTGGTTATCTACTCAAGTGGCCAAAACAGAGAGAAGTACCAAGATAACTGCACACTGAAGGACACACACACATACAAGAGGAAAGGAATTCATTTTAACAGATGAACAAGTCCAAGACTGATGAACACATTAGAAAACTGGTAAACAAATCTCCTTCCCAAATTTATAATTCCCAAACAAAGGAAGCCACAGATCTGGAAATGAATGAAACTCCAGAGGACTACTGTAAAAAACTGATTATTAAAATGTTTAATGATCTAAAAGATGATCTAAGGAATGAATTAAGAGAGCAAATATGAGAGGTGAAACACCATTTCAATATAGATGTGGAGATACTGAAAAGGAATCAATTAGAACTCCTAGGAATGAAAGACACAATGAATCAAATAAAAAATTCAATAGAATGTGTCACCAACTGATTAGATTACATACAAAATAGAACTTTAGGCCTTGAAGACAGAGTATATGAACTTGAACACTGAGTATAAAATAAAGACAGAAAAAAGATCATCATCAGAATATGCAAGAATTCTGAGAACACTTTAAGAGACCAAATTTGAGAGTTTGAGAGTCATTGGGAGGGAAGAGAATATGGAGATACATGGTAATAGCATTAAGAATTTTTTAGTAAAATAACAGCAGAAAATTTTCTTAACCTTAGAAATGAGATGAACAACCACATACAGAATTCATATAGAATCCCAAATAGACAAGACCAAAAAAAAAGGACCTACCTAAGATACATCATAATGGAAATAGCTAATGTAGTAAGTAAGGAAAGAATATTAAAAGCTGCAAGAGAAAAACATTAGGTCATATTTAGAAGTATAGCAATAAGACTTGCTTCTGACTTCTCAACTCAGACCTTAAAATCAAAGAGGGCCTGGAATGAGATATACCAAGTTCTGAAAGAAATCAATTTCCATACAAGATTGCTGTATCCAGCAAAGCTCTCTTTCAATATAAAAGGGTAAATAAAAACTTTCATTAATAAAAAAGTCAGCACTATAAAAGACTTAAAGATATATCACAGAAGAAATCAGAAACATACCCCAAAGCTACCAAATGAATGATGCTACCTAAAAGAGCAATTGATTGAATGAAAATTAAGATAGAATTGAATATATCACACAAATCAAAATAGAAGAAAATTTAAAAAACATTTATATATAGTAAATCTGAATGTAAATGATCTCAATTCCTGAACTAAAAGACATAACTTAGTAGAATGGATTAAAAACAACAAGATCTAACTATATTCTATTTGCAAGAGACTCATCTTATTGGCAAAGACATCCACAGGCTGAAAGTAAAGGATGAAAAATGATTCCATGCAAATTGAATAAAAAAACAAGGAGTAGCTATCCTCATATTTGAAAAAGAAGATTTTGAGCAAAATTTGATCAGAAGAAACAAAGAAAGTAATAACATACTAAAAAAAGGAACAATCCACCAAGAATATATAATGATGATAAATATTTATACCCCAAATATTGGTGTACCTAATTACATTGAAACAAAAACAAACAAAACCAAAAAACTTCTTGACATTAAATCCCAGATAGACCCAACACAATAATGTTGCATAATTTCAACATACCTCTTACAGGCAGGTCATTCAGGCATTAAATAAATAGATACTTCAAACCTAAATTATACTATAAATCAAATGAACCTAACAAACATCTACAGACTATTTCACCCCAAACATCTGAATTTACCTTCTTCTCAGAAGTTTGTGGAACCATTTCAAAAATAGATCATGTTCTAGGACACAATCTAAGTAAAAAAAAAAAAAGACATGATCCTCAGAATAGCATGGTCTGAAATAAAATTGAGAATAAATAATAATAATAATAATAAAAAGGAATAGAACAAAGGGTTGATTCCTTAAAAGTATAAACAATATTAACAAATCCTTAGTCAAACTAACCAAAAGAAAGAGAAGACCCAAATCAACAAAATTTGATATTAAAAAGGAGACATCTTCATAGACATTTCTGAAGTCCAAAGGATCATTAGAAATTTTTGAAAATTTACTCCAATAAATTGGAAAATATACAGGACATTGAAAAATTTATAGACACATATAGACTGTCCAAACTGAACCAGGATCATGTAAAAACCTAAACAAACCAATATCAAAGTACTTGAAGAAGTAATTAAAAGCCTTCCAACAAAGAAAAGCTTGGAAGCAGATGGATTCTCAGCCAAGTTCTACCAGACTTTTAAAGAAGAACTAATACCAGTCACCCTCAATTTATTTCATGTGAAAGAAAGGGAAGAAAAACTCCCAAATCCATTTTATGAAGCCTGTATGACCCTGATAACAAAACCAGACAAAGACACAGCAAGGAAAGAAAACTATAGACCAACATCCGAGGTAAGCACACATGCAAAAATCCTTAATAAAATATTGGCAAACTGCATTCACAAACACATTAAGACAGTATTCCAAGATAAGTGGGTTTCATTCCAGGGATGCAAGTTTGGTACAACATATACAAATCAATACATTTTATTCACCATACAAACTGAACTAAGGACAAGAACCATATGTCATCTCAATGGGGGCAGAAAAGGCCTTAGACAAAATCCAACATCAATTAATGTAAAAAACACTAGAGAAACTAGGGTTAGAAGAAACTTACCTCAGTATTATAAAGGCTACATATGACAAACCCAAAGCCAACATCATACTGAATGGAGAAAAACTGAAAGTATTTTCTCTAAAATCAGGAATAAGACAAGGAAGTCCATTTTCACCACTTGTATTTAATATAGAATCTTTCACCATAAAGAAATTGTTAAATGTTGAGCAGATACATTTAAACTAATCTAAATATTATACAATGTGTTTATGTATAGAAACATCACAGGTTATTCCACTAATATGCATAATTCTTTATGTTTTTTATGAATCAATTAAAAATAATTGATAATTGAATTTAAATTTGCCAAAAAGTTGAGGCCCATTGGCATCAAGGAAAGAGCTAAGGCATGTTATACTCATGCTATTGACTAGTTGTGTGGTTAGGTCACCTGCTCCCTGTGGGTGTTCAGTGATTTCTAAGGCTCTTTATAGCTTGAGATTTCTTCTAAAGCCAGAAGCTTTTCTCAACTGCTGTCTCCATGAACAAATCTTTAATAGCAATTCAAGCTATTTCTTTCTTATTATTTTCATAATATAGCACAATAACCCAATTTTGCTACAGTCAGAATTGTGGCCATCCAAATGTAAAGGTATAAAATGTTCAGTTTCAGACTTAAAGGACAATGAAGATTCAAAGAGCACTGATTCCAACCCTTGGACCACTATTTTTTTTATGACATTTAGATTGAGCATTTCAAGGCAAGAGTTAAAAGATAAACACACTGAATATTAAAAAAAAAAAGATGCCTTAGCACAATAAAGTCAATGCAGAAAAGGAGCGGTCATTCTTCTCTGCTTATTCTTGTGTTCAGGTTAGAAGTTAAGGTAGTGAGTAATTATTCAAATATGATTTCTAGCAACCCATCATCCTTCCACACTACAGTTTATTTAAAGAACAAAAAACCTTTTGATATAAGAATTATTAGCCTTTAAAATACATGGCATTCTAAAGACAACAAGGTAATATATCTGAATGAATTAAGAAAAGTTATTCTTTATAGTGGTGGTATTCAAACTAAAAAAAAAAAAACAAAACAAAAACTGAATTTCTTGCAACTCTATCATAGCAGTCACTTTCTTTGGCAAATGGGATTCAAATAAATGAGTCTTTTTTTTTTCTTTTAGAGAGAGTGAGAGGAGAGAGGAGAGAGAGAGAGAGAGAGAGAGAGAGAGAGAGAGAGAGAGAGAGAGAGAGAGAATTTCCAACATTTATTTTTTAGTTCTCGGCGGACACAACATCTTTGTTGGTATGTGGTGCTGAGGATCGAACCCGGGCCGCACGCATGCCAGGCGAGCGCGCTACCACTTGAGCCACATCCCCAGCCCCCAAATAAATGAGTCTTGAGAAATTTTTTAAAGAAGAATTTTCTTTTTAACATCTTATGATGACTCGCATGATTTTGAATAAAAGTTTCAACAATAGACTAGATGAATCAATTATTAAGTGAAAATGTCTGAAAATTATTACTATAGTGAAAAGCAAAGTTTAAAAGTCCCTGGGAGAGTCATTTGTTAAGGAGGAGCTAGCTACCCTTGTGACATATGTGAGATCTGAGGGTGAGGAAGTCTGGCTTAGCTGGGGAAAGGTTGGTACAGAGCACTCCCTTTGGTTTCCAAAATGATAAGAACAGGCATATACAGATTCTCTCTTGATACCCACATGATATTAATAGATATTATAAAATAGTATAGACTTATTAAATGCATTTGGCAAGAAGGATAATAATATGATATTAATAGATATTATAAAATAGAAAAGACTTAAATTAAATGCATTTGGCAAGATATTAATAGATATTATAAAACAGTATAGACTTATTAAATGCATTTGACAAGAAGGATAATCTCTGTTGAACTATACTCTCTTGCTTTTGCTGGTTGAATCATATACTTACCAACAACCAGAGATACTTTTCCCAAGGTCTATTGCATCATTGCAATTGCCATTATAATTATGTAATTTAATCAAATTTTGTGTTATCAAATAAGTTAGCATAAAAGAAGAGAGCTGTTTCTACCAATGTATTAAAAATAACAGTGAATTGCTAAAAGTGATACTCCCAAATTAAGGCAGAAAAGGCAACTCTAAAAGTTGAAAATATATAAAATATAAGAGTTTCTAAATTAGACAATCTCCTTCACTTTTGAGAAAAAAAAATCAGATATATTTTGTATGAAAGAGACTGACACAGACTGACCACACTCAAAGAAATTGAGGTTTCCAAATGGATTTTAAAATGTACATTTATATGTTTTGGTTAAAATGAAAAATGTGAGAAATTTAAACAAGCTTTTCTCTCTCTGTCTCTGTCTCTCTTTTTTTTAGTTACCTAGACATTATTATGGCTGTATGTATATAGGTGACTGTAAGACCACCTTTACAATGATTCTGCAACCTGTACAATCAGAAAGATAAGAAATTATACCCCATTTGATTCAAATGTATGAAATGTCAAGATTATTGTATTGTTATGTATAACTAAAAAAAATTAACAATTTCATATAACCAATCAACTGTTTTATCCTTAGTCAGATATTGTGATTTCTACTCTATAAGCCAGAAAGGGAGCTCTTTCTTAAGTGGGAATTTCTTGGCACAAGATAGGTTAAATGAAAACTATATTTTGATTTTAAAAAATAATAATAGATAACTCCTGAAATAACACTATTGCAAAACACTTATTATTGCAAGAGAGTATAGTGCAGTTTATATCAAGAGAGATTTAGGGTTTATTTAGCAAGCATAAACAAGGAATCTGGAATGTATAACCAGTTCAACTTCCAGAAATAATTTTGCAACATAGTGTACAGAAGAAAGGATACTGAGTAGTGTCTATGTTCCATCTATCTCTATTAGATGGTGTATAGTAAAGCGAATGCTGCCCTACTTGGGGCTCCTTTCACAGATACTCATCACCCTATTCATCATTGGGAGTGATGTTGGCTACCCTCTGCTTAAAAGAATTAACCTTGGCCAAATGGAACCCATGTAGCTCAAGAAGTATGTTCATTCTTGCTGTAGATTCCAGCCAATGATTACTGACAGTAGATTTTTAAAAAGTCTCCATGTAGTGTCATGAATGAGAAGAGTATGCTTTGATGTAGATATTTAGGTTGCTGGGTTAAGGGAGGCACTAGCTAGAAAGAACATAACATTATGGGAGTTAATATTTTGGACAGAATTTCAGGAATTGATTGTAATATAATTCAGTGATAACTCTTGAAAGCAATGACTCAAAGGAAATAAAGTGAAGATACAGGACTGCTATAGGAAAACTATGGAAGAAGGAACCTAAAGGCCCAAGGAAATGGAGTCATGTGAATGAGTTTTACTAGGTAAAGACAAACAACACGCTAGCTATTCATGTTCTTCTTCAATTGTAAGGGTATGGTGAAACATCGGAGTAGAGACCACAAGAGACTCTCTTATGCAACAGCAGAAGGGTGGGTTTATTTGGAGACCAGCATGCTAGGGCTCTCTCTATAGCAAAGAGAGATAGAGCCCTGAGAACAGCTTGAGCAGAGCTTATATACTTTCCATGGAGAGGGCAGCGAGAGAAGTTACATTTTGTAGTTTGGCAGTTGGGGACAACTCATTCTGGGAACAAGATTAGCAGACAGTCCACAGTTAGGGACAGCACATTTCTGAGAACAAGATTAGCAAACAGTTCTTAAGATTTCAACAGTGTTTTGTTAAGCATACAGAGAAACGGAGTGACAAGTACCTATTTTATTAACCTTTCACAATAGTAGTTGTAACAAGCTTCAACTCTGAATCTGTTCATCAATTCACATAGATGAGTTGCCAGCGTAGAAAAGCCTTACAGCTCAAACTGTTCACTGATCATTAATCTATAAAGAAATGTGAGCAAATCCTGGGAATCCAGGCTAAAAACTAAAAACAACAACAGAACATTGATAGTCACCGGAAAAGGCAAGTAGATAGGATAATTCACCCACTTAATGTCAAACAGTCTGTGTCCTCAACCAACCCAGTGTGTATAATCATTCAGTTACAGAATAGACATAGAATAGACATGCCATGTGTGGTCTCACAGCATAATCTGTCTCACCAAGGCTGATCCTTTGTACCGCCACTACTGAATGTCTGCTCTACCATAAACAGAAAACTACCAATGCCCCCCAATTATATTATACCCCAAGGAGCTCAAAAAGTGAGCTGTTATCAAGATAATCATATCAGACTCCTTCTACCTAGAAAGCTACAAATTCATACCAGACAAATTTGACACAAATTCTGTATGTTAATCAGGTTTTTGCTGCTGTGACTGAAATACCTGACAAAAACAACTTAGAGCAGGAAAAGTTTATCTTGGGTTCACTGTTTTCTGTCTATGGTCTGCTGGCTTCCTTGCTCTGGGCGTGAGTTAAGGCCCATCAGATGGAAAGGTATTCCAGAGGAAAGTTTCTTAGCTCATGACAGCTGGGAAGGAGGGAGGAGAGAGAGAAAAAGGGAGAGAAAGAGAGAGACAGACAGAAAAGATATAGTTCAAGGTCACAATCCTAGTGACATAATTCCTCCAGTTATGACCTACCTGCCGATAGTAACCACCCAGTGGTACATTCAAATTATTAATCCATCAAATAGATTAATCCATTGATGAGGTTATTGCTCTCATAATCTAATTGTGTCACCTCTGAACATTTCTACATTGCCTAGCATGAGCTTTTGGGGGACACCTCATATCCAACCACTGTGCATATACATTTGCTTTTCCTGCTCAACCTCCCATCCAGAAACACTATCCAAAGATTCTAAAAATTCAGTTATAAAAGAAGTCCTGTAAAAAATATTGGTGTGGACTAAGATACCACCTTACAACAAAGGTATTCCATGGGAGCCGCTGGTTCTGCCACAAACCACACATCTGTAAATTGCCAATCTCTTGAAGGCACAGTGGAGGCAACAGGTTGATGACAACACACATGGATAATGAGACGTTGACCTTCAGGATGAAGTGTACATTTTAAATGACCACTATATGTGCCCGATACTACGTCTCCAAGTGGTGATGACATGGGTCCAGAATTGCTGTATGACAACTTATCACAAATTTAGCTGCTTCAGAGAACATGTAGTTTCTGTAGTCAGGATTATAGTACGGCTTTGCTTGATCTTCTGCTTGTCATCTCATGAGGTTTTAAAGAATGTATTACCCAGACTATATCTTCATCTGGAGGCTTGAACTGGAAAACAAATCTGTTTCAAAGCTTATAGTATTAAGTTTTAGGGTTGCCATAATAAAATATCATAAGTTGGATAGCTTAAAACAACAGAAACTTATTGTTTCACAGTTCTGGAGGCTATAAGTCTAACACTGAGATGTAGGAAGGGCTATGGTCTTTCTAAAATCTATAGAAGAAAATCCTCCTTTGCCTCTTTAAGATTGTTGTAGTTGTTAGTAGCCCTTGGCATTCTCTGGCTTGTAGATATACTGCTCAGTTTCTACCTCTGTTGTAACATGGCCATTTTCCTATATGTCTTTCTTATAAAGACACCAGTCATATTGAATTAAGGACTCATCCTACTCCAGTCTGGCCTTAACTTATTAATCTGCAATCACCTACTTCCAAATAAGATCACATTCTGAGTCACTGGGGTTTAGAATTTCAATCTATCTTTTAAGAGGACACAATTTAACCCCAAATATTGATTCAGGTTATTGTCACAAGTTATTTCCTTTTAGTTTCTGGACTCAAGTGCCCATCTGCATGCTGGTTGTCAGCTAGAAGCTGCATTTAGCTTTTCAAAGTCTCCCCAGTTCTTAGAGGCTTCTTGAAATTTCTTGCCCCTTGGGCTTTTCCAAAATGGCTACTTTATTCATCAAGTCATCAAAGAGAATATCTCTAATATAATCATGAAAATGAGAAATGAATTAGGACCCCCCCCCAAACTGTGTATACCTAGAGCTTCAGAATGTGACCTTATTTGGAAATAGGAGCTTTGCAGATAAGAGTTAAGACAAGGTCACACTGGCTAAGAAAATAGGGTTCCTAAAT